GAAATACATGCATCTAGAATTTTCTTCTAAATGCAATTTGTTATCATAGCAAACCGGACAACATAATGAAGCTAATATCATCATCAGGATCTCAATATCAATTATTCGATTGCCACACAGATTGTTTTTATCCAAAGGCATCAGTTCTTTATTGACATCCATAGAAATCGATAATTTTGAAGAGCTTGAAGTAATAGATTCTTCTGCTTTACACAATTTTGAATGAATGGTATAAAAGAAAAAATACATATTTAGAAGCCGGAAAACAAAATAATGAAAATCTCTTCATAAGCTCACGTGAATAAATCTGTAAAAAAGGGGTGGTTTCTAATGTATCAATATAGCCAAAGCAAAATATATAAATAAAATGAAATATGCAATAGTGTGACGATATAAATAAAAATATATAAATAAAATGCAAATATATAAATAAAATGCAAAATATATAAATAAAATGCAAAGAAAATACAGAACAAGCTACAAAACGAAATCTATAAAGCGAGTAGCGAATTCAAATGAACTTACATGTTCTGGAATCTTTCAAGAATGATTTAAAATATTTTCTTAATAAGATTGTCAGATTAAAAGATATGTAAACAAAAGCGCAAACGGAGTTAGAAACGTGAATTGAAGGATTTTTTTCATCTCTATCTTACTGCAGTACTGAAGCGCATTTGATTTGTAAGTTATCAAGGTAATATTATACTGGATATTTTAAAGTTTATAATTAATAAGGTTGATATTTAATTATACAATTTTAATGATTTTAGAAAATTAACATTTATTTAAAAAAGTGAGAGAGAGAGAGAGAAACATGATCTGTTTTGCACAAATTTTTAGCCACGGATTTGCCCGAATTATGTATATATTATAATTAAAATAACCATAAATATTTATTTTCTAATGAAGTAATTTTATTTAAACTTTTATGTTTTCCAGGTACTGGAAATGTACTTAAAGTACAGAACCTTTTACATATTTGTAGTGAGCATTATGATGCAACTGATAAGGTAAATTGATTTATTTCAATTTTTATTAGTTTACTAAGATTGAAGTTTAAAAATTATGCTAATATTAGATCGTCATTCACATTTTTTCTGAAGTTAACTTCCCTAAATTATATTTTTATCTAAGCTATAATGATTCTTGCCTTACTTACCTATTGCACTTTTTGATTAGGTTTGAAAAAGTAGAATGAAAATATTTATTACCCAGTTCCTTAGTAATTGTTGAAAAAATAATTAGGGAAGAACAAAATTGTTCTAAAAGTCATGGTTTAGACCCAGTCTGAAGTTTGTCCTTTACCCTGAAGTGAGCTTTGGTTGCCATTTAGGGGATCAAAAAAGGAAGAAATTTAAATTTCACCTAGACAAGTGTAGTATATTTTTCTATGTTAATAAGACATAGTTATGAAGTTTTATGCATACTATTAATTTTATCAACTTGCTCTTGATCTAATTCTATTCAGCAAAAGAATGGCATATAAAACAAAACTTTCGTTATTTAGATAAAAAAAAATACTGGACTAGTTAATGGGTAAAAAATAAATAAAAAATTAGTTTTTACACATTATCTGTGCAAAAACTCTTATAACTTCTTAACTATTAGTCCTATTAGCTTTGTTTATGCCTCTTTTAAATCAGTACTAAATATAATAACCAATGTTATTATGTTTAGTATTAATTTTAAAGAGGCAGAAACATAATTAATACTTTGTATGGGTGGATAATATTATCAGAGGGGTTAAAGGTTATAATTAAAAACTGTACTTTTTATACTTTTAAGCTATTACCCTGGGTCACTTGGTTTTAGTTTCATTTGATTCTAGTTTGAAAAAATATTCAGAAAATAACCATCTTACCATAATTTTTAAAATGTGTCCAGCTTTTCCCTTGTTGTTTTTGTATTTTCTACTTTTTTGTGGCATGAAAACTTACATGGAAGATACTATTTTTAGATGTATTTTACTAAAAAATTTTGAAACTAGATTTGATATATTTTATTCTAATTTAAATCAATCATATTGTATTAGTAATACTTCTATAATAGAAATATTTTAAAAGCATAAAATATTGTAAAATTGTATGCTAAGTTTTAAAATATTTCTAAATTTTAACTTTTATTTTGGAAGTACAATATTTTTTGTTTGTTTCCTGTTTGGATTATTAAAGTATTTGTTTAATACAAATTCCTTGTAAATACAATACATTAGTTCTTAAATCGTACTAATATTTAAATATATAAACTGTTTAATTAGTTTTATAGCTATTTTATTTTTATTGGCTCTTGACAATTTCACAGGATGATAAGAAAGATGACAAGAAAGACAAGGATAAGGAGGATAAAGATAAGAAAGAGGAAAAGACAACTTCCCATGACCTATCTTCTCAACAAGCTGTTGCAGTGTTAGGCATTGCATTAATTTCTATGGGAGAGGATATAGGATCAGAAATGGCATTTAGGACTTTTGGACATCTGGTACATAAATCTATAGTTAAAACATACTTTGATTCCATCATTTTTAAGTTGATATTATTGTGAATTTGATTTCAAATATGGGAATCATATTGTTAGAAAAGGCTTCAATAGTTTTGTGTATAATTTTTTAGCAGCTAATGTAAATAGTTATCACTTATGATGTGTCTAGTGTTTAACATTGCAGTGTGACACACAATAGAGTCATGCCAACTTACTGAATTTATGAGCTATGGCATTCATTGATGCCATGCCGGCCAAAGTAGAGCAGCCAGGGAGGCATTCATTGATTTCCTTCGTGTTAAACCTAATAAAACTCTATGGTGTATTTATATATTATAAAGGGAGTAAAATCCTCATCCTATTAATTTTGATTAAGAATTTTCTTTTGCAATCAATAATTTTTAATTATGACTTTTTTTAAAAAATTATTTTCTTGTCTTGTTAGTTGAGATATGGAGAACCTGTGATTAAACGATCTGTGCCATTGGCCCTTGCTTTGATTTCTGCATCAAACCCCAAATTAAATATCCTGGAAACTTTGAGTAAATTCTCTCATGACAGTGATGTTGAAGTTGCCTACAATGCAATATTTGCCTTGGGATTAGTGGGTGCAGGTATGTATTAAGCTTTCTTTAAATTAATATCTAGTATTTTTTAATATAAAATTTTAGTTTTTTTTTCTTTCCAATTTATAGTTGCAAACTTATAAATAAAATTTTATATTTATGATGTTTAATTTTAACACCATTTCACAGTACATTTTCTGAAGTTTTACGGCTGAGTAAAAAAAATCACTTCATTTATTAGCAAATACCATGTATTAGTATGTAGTTCAATTTATTCAGGTTAGATAGAAAGGTAGGCCTACAACTTGAAAAGTTTTTAGAAAGATAAAAAAAAAAAAATGTTATGAATGACAATTGCCTTATTTATATTTATCATATTGTGTTACACTTTCAAATGCTAATGAAAACATATTTGTTCATTCTTAGAATTATGACATTTACATGGAATCAGTTTTGTCTTCACTGTAAAATTATGCTTATTTTTACTTTATGCTTACACTAATAAGTGCACACAGATGATTTACAAAGTGATTTAACTTATGGGGAGCTCTGTCTCTGCTTGTTAGCTCTTGTCACTTAGCATGAAGATATGCTGTACCTTAGTTAAGTATTGCTGGATGAACAATATTCTACACTGGTTCTAGATTATAAAATTTTTGTTGTTTAGTTCAGGGGTCGCCTAACAACGGCCCATGGATAAAAACTGCCCTGAAAGCATCACCAATCCAGCCCGTGGTGGCACGACTGGTCTGCCTACAGAATTAGTCTGGAAACTGTAAAAATGGCCAGATTTTCTTTCAATTTTAAATCTGGAGGAATTGAACCCTTCTAGTGTTTTCATCGCAGAAAAAAAATGGGTGAGAATTTCTCACCCTTTCTCAAAAACAGGGTGAGATTTCAAAAAGTTAAGTAAGATATTTAAAAATTAAAAAAAAAACACACACAAAGAGGCTTTAAAAAAATCATTTCTTTAATTACAATGCATTTTTAACATCTTCTAGTTTTTAAAGCATTGAATATTTTTTTTGCATCATATGGAAAATGCTCCACATCTACTTTTTCATCAGCTATTCTCATTAGGTTGCTCAAATGCACGTTTGTTTCGTTTTGATCATTTCTACCCACATTTGTTTCATTTTCATTTGTCCGTTTCGGAGTAGAAGATATTGCCTTTACAAGGTATTTGTCCATCTTACATTAATGCGCAAAATTTTTTAACTTCTTACATGGAGAACATGCACGTGGTTGCAGAGAAATGCGTTCTGAAAGAGGTTCCGAAGGATGGTGTTCTGTTGTTCTTAAAGGTTCTGAACAATACTGGTAAATAGGGAAGCTGGATAATGGGGCAGATGATGAAAATAATGAAAGATCCAGGAAGAAAAGTGAAATGGATTTCATTCTAAATGGCGCAATGAGAAAGTTTTTTCAAAATGCGAGAAATTCGCGAATTTTGAAATTGCTTCATATAGAATGTGCGAATTTCTCGCGGTAATCATTTTTTAATGCGAGAAAAGAAAAAAATATGCGAGATTCTCACGCTGTAGTGAAAACACTGATTCTAGAAAAGATACCTTTGCCAATTAAGTTTTTGCCCTTGAAACTTTGAAAAGGAGTCTGTATGGCCCACAAACTAAAGATTTTGGTTTAATGAAAACATTGTGAGGATAAAGAAACGAAGGGTGTTAAATTACTGTAAGAAGAAAAAGACAGAACTAAAACTGAATTTATTAATAAAAAATGTGGTTTAACAAATATTTTTTTTAAAAAAATTAGCCATTCAGTGCTGCCAAACAAAATATTATGTAATATCATAACTTAATTCCAAGTTTTGTTGCTAAGCTATTAAAAAAAATTTTCATTGTATTTAAAAAAAAAATTCTCTTTCATTTATAAATAAATTGACTTTATTTACTCCTCAATCTGAACAACATATCTGATAACATAATTCTTAAACTTACATATCTAATTAAAACACGCATATTAAGAGAAATAGAGTTGCAATTTTTATTACAGTTGAATGGTGAAAAAATAACATGTGGGAGAAAATAAGGTTGTAAGAATCTTTTGAACTATGGTATAAAAGGAAAAATCGCATACAAAAGATATCTTGTAAAAAAATTATTAAAATCAAAAAAATGTTAAAACGAAAACTTAAAAAAAATCTTTTAACGGAGGAAAAATGTTCCAAACTTTCAAGAAATAGAAATATCATCATTTTCAGATTAGTCATGAACACAGCTTAAATTTTATTTATTTATTACAATATTTTTTTTTTTTGTGAATTAGTAATCATGAGCTTTATTTTACTTACGTTATATTTTTTTAAAGGTACAAATAATGCAAGATTGGCTGCTATGTTACGACAACTTGCACAGTATCATGCTAAAGATCCTAACAACCTCTTCATGGTCAGATTAGCACAAGGCTTGGCACATCTTGGTAAAGGCACTCTTACTCTCTGTCCTTATCATCATGACAGACAGCTCTTAAGTCCTGTATGTGTTGCTGGATTGATGGCAACTTTAGTGTCCTTTCTTGATGTTAAGAACAGTAAGAGTTCATTTTATGTCATTTTAAACTTAACTGTGTTAACTAAATTATCAGTATTTAAAAATGTAAATTGTATCAGTATCTATTATCATTAATGAAAGTGCAAGTCAATTTTTGTTTTCTCTTTTGTATTCATATCTGTTCAATATAAAACTTTTAAAGGTTTTGCCTTTTGTAGATAAAGACAAGTTTCCCAGGGATGAGATTTTTCCGCTTTTTTCTCTCGAATTTCAGCCTTTTTATCAGAAACTCCGATTCTCTAAAAGTTTTTTTTTATATAAATATTTCGCTTTTTCTGAAAATTGAGCCGTAGAAAAAAAATAATAATATTTTTTTCTGATTTTCAAAGGCAAACAGAAAATCCAAACTACGTTACTGCTAGCTCTTCGCATTTTTTATAATTTTAGCTATTTTCTCCACTTTCACGTGCAAAAAATAAGATTTTCCGCATTTTTACCTGCCCGCCAAATAGCTCATATTTTCGTAATTCAGACGTCACTGCATTTTAATATCAATCTTCGATTTCCTTATTTACCAGATTTAAAAATTGTGAATTGCGATTCTTATTCATGCAATTTCAACATCGTACATTGCAATTCTTATTTACACATTCTTAAAATCCTATGTTTATGTAGCGATTCGCATTTGCATGTTTTTAAAATCCTATGCAGCGATTCATATTTGCAAGTTTTTAAAATCCTATGCGGCGATTTGTATTCACATAAGTTTAAAATCCAATGTCGTGATTCCTTTATGCTGTTGTAATATCACACATCGATTTTCGTATTTACACGTGATTTAAAAATTAGACTTTGAATTCGTATTCACACGATTTAGAAACTATGCATCGTGATTTGTATTCACGCTATCTGAAAATTAGGCATCATGATTTGTATTTTCACATTTTTTAAATCCAATATCGAGTTTCATATTCACATGATTTCAAAATCCTAGATCGCTATTTGTATTCACGCGATTTTAAAATCCTTTATCGCAATTCTTATAAGAAGTAAGTTTTTTCCTTGAATTATTTACTGTATAGGTGGCAGTAGTTCTATCGACGATTATTGGTATATATATATAGGCATTACAATATCAGCAAAATTGGATGAAAATATGTTGCTGATGTTTTTGCTATAAATCACATAATAATTTTTAATAAAAAAATGAAATGTTAATGCATGTTCTCAGTAGTTTAGTGTGCTGAACTAGGCAGTAGTAATTGACTCCTTTGTGACTAAAAAAAAAAACATAATTTCCAGCTTTATTTTTTCAATTTGTAATTTTACTTTTTACTAAATGTTAAGGGTCGATGTAATTATTCAGTCATTAATAAATTTAATTTTATATGAACACATAGTTATTTATTATCTTAAATTGTCTGGAATTTATTACTAAACGATGGCACGAAGGTAAGATTTACTCGTGTGAAAATTCAGCTTTTTTTTTTGCCTTTTGGCCAATCTCATCCCTGTTTTCCTCTTTTGGTCAGTTTACAACTCAGTTTAATCAGCTTACCTATTACACTTACTATATGGAACAGTATCTCTAATTCTGGCTTTGGTCATATTAAACCCTACATTCTACTCAATTCTCCTGTCATCCTTAAAATGAGAATGATGAACAGCCGCTTGTTTGCTATTATAAGAGCATTAATAGAAATATTAGCTGAATACTTGTACTTTTTCCATATCATCATGGTTTTTTATGGATGTTTGGATTGGTAGACCCTGATTAGACCTACATTTCTCATGTGTTTACATTAATTTTTTTTTAAAAAAATTGCGAAGTAATTTATCCATTTATAAGAGTGCTAATTTTTAGTAATTATTACAAGTATTTAAATTAAATTTACATTTGATAGTGAAGAACTTTATCATCGCCCTTAAATAATTCAGTAAATACAGTGGAGTTCATCAATTACAATATTTCACATTTAATGAACAAAATGGAACATTATGTTTGGTACAATGTTATTTATGTATTAGACCCTCTCTCAGTTCTTTGAAGCTATAGAAAATGCAGATGATGAAACATTTGATGCTGTAAGATAAAAGTTGAAAAAAATCAAAGTTGGATAAATCTCCTCAATAAAGAATATGGAAGCAATTCAAGTCTATGTTTATTTTTTGTCATGCTATTCTTCAATTTGGATTTAACAAATATTGCTCCCATAAGTCCCTTATTTTTTTGTTTTTTGTATACAGGAAAAACCCTCATTTGTATGTGTATGTAATTTACGATAAAAATGATATATGTGTATCCTTTCATTTTTTTACTTCCCTACTCGTTCTTGATTTGTATCATACTTTATTTCATTAGTCTATGTGAATGCTTTATAATTTTTATGTAAATTTTAATTTTTCTCACTGTTTGATTTTCAATATTTCTTTTCAGTTATACTTAAGAATTCTCATTACGTTCTATACAATCTGGTTGCTGCAATGCAGCCACGTATGTTGGTAACATTTGATGAGGAGCTTCAACCTCTTCCTGTTCCAGTGAGGGTTGGTCAAGCTGTTGATGTAGTTGGTCAAGCAGGAAAGCCTAAAACCATTACCGGGTTTCAAACTCATACAACTCCTGTTCTATTAGCTTATGGTGAAAGAGCAGAATTAGCAACAGAAGAATACATACCACTCACTCCTATTCTAGAAGGATTTGTGATATTGAGGAAAAATCCAAACTACACTCATGAATAGAGACTTTTCTTTGGCGACTTTAAGTTTTTACAAATTGAATGTTCTTTTTTATGGTATGTCACAGATTCATGTAAATTATTGGCAACAGAAACAAGCATCACATTCATAATGGAAGGCATTTTATGTTGAATCATATTTATTCAATATTTCAAATAAAGATTGTTTTCTACTCCAGTCTTGTAACATATTTAATAAACTGTCTAAATTTTCTTCACCTCTTAAGAATGATTCCACATGGTAAATGTTTATATGTGCACGATGATCAGTTATTCGGTCCTGAGGAAAATTGTAAGTCCTAACTTTTTCAGATCTTGCTGCACTTCCAATCTGTAAAAATAAAACTTATTTTAAAAATATTTAGGTTGCAAAAATAATTAATTGCATGCATAATAAAATTGGGTTACGTTTTGCGAATAGTTTTTTAGAACCATGGTGCCTTTTTAAATAGAAAATTCAGTAAAAATAAAAAACCCACAGCAATACAATTTGAGAGCCACTTTAATGCACAATGTGTAAAAAAATAAATGGAGCACCCTAAATAACTTTTGATCAGATCTTCACGTTCTAAAACTCAATACTAATGTTTACCGCAAATATTCTAATTAATACAGACTATATTTTAAGTTAAATCAGACATAAAAACAAACTTTCTCTGAGTAAACATGCATTTTTTTTTCCATGAATTCGGATTTCTGACTCTAAAAATATGGTTCCAATAGTTTGGTCAAGAAAGTGGGTGAAATTTTGGACCCTTTAACGTTTTGCTATATCTTGAGAACTTATATAGCTCAATTTCCTGAGAAATTGAATTTTAAAAATAGGACTGGGCTATAAATCGATGCATCAGAAATCTGATTTAAGCCGATGCAGCAGAAATTTGATTTAGGCTGCCGAGAGTGACTCTCGTTTTAGGCGATGCATCAGAAATCTGATTTCAGCCGTCGTATAAGACAACAAATAGAGAGAAATTGAATTTTAAAATAAGACTTTTTTTTAAATTAGATTTCTCAGGAATAGGACTGGGCTATAAATCAATGCATCAGAAATTTGATTTAGGCTGCCGAGAGTGACTCTCGTTTTAGGCGATGCATCAGAAATCTGATTTCAGCCGTCGTATAAGACAACGCTCACAGATTAATGATATAACGTGTGAGAATCCTTGCGTACGCTATCACTGTCACCGCGCTGGCGAAGACTATTTTGATTTCGTCTAGCTACGAAGACGATGTTAGTTTCGTTATGTTGAATAAATAACGAAAAGCGAATTGAATTAGAACTCCCGGTTTCGAAGCGTTGAAATAGAGCGCTATGCATACTTTCTTTATGCGCCATTTTTGTCTTTGGAAGTTTACTTTTCTTAGATTATTTTCAGCTGGACTTACGTTATTTTGTGTTCGCTGTGCCCTTTATTTTCGTCGAGATTTAACGTTTCTTGTAAATTATTTTCAGTGAGACAGTTTTGCTACTTAGCTATCGTTTCATTGTGCATTATTTCTTCTCTTTTTCTGTCTTTCGGAATTTAACGATTCTTATCAATTATTTTTAGTTGACCTACTGTTACTTGGCTATCGTTGCGCAATCGCTGTTATCTTAAATTTTCGTTCTGAACTCAATCTATTATGAAAAGAAAATATGAATAAAAAAGATTTTTCACTGTTTTTTTTTAATTATTGTTTTTCATTTTAATTTCGATACAATTTAATAGGGGTATTTTGTATTTAACTTTGTTATAAAAAGTTGATAGAATTTGATTGTTTTTAAACAAATAAATCTTCAGTCGTTTTTAATTATAAAAAAAATTGGCTACTAGTTAAAACAAATATTTTTTTTAATTGAATAAAAAGTTAAGCAATGTTTTGACGTTTTTTAATAATTTAACAATAGTACCTTAAAAGTGATTTTTTTTTTTTTTTTTAATTTTTCTTAAAATTCTTTCAATACATGTTTGTTAGACAGTATGATTTTTAAACAAATAAATCCTTAGTCGATTTTATTTTCAAAAAAAGAAAATAATAATAAATAAATAAAAAACTTAAATTTATTTTTACATTCACTAAGTATAGAATTAGACCATTAGTTAATACAACTTTATTATTTTAAATAAATTAATTAAAGAAGGTCTAACAATGCTTCAAAAGCACGTTTTTTTTCAACAATTTAAAAATGTTTTACTAAAGTAAACATTTTTTAGTTTTTTTTTACTTTCGTTTTTTTTTTTTTTTCCTTTTAATTTTGAATGCATGTATGTAAAATATTTTGTTAGTTTTATTATTATTTTTAAACCAATAAATCTGAAGTCATTTTTAATTTAAAAAAAATTAAAATAAAGCTTGGGTTTGTTTTTACTTAAGACATTTTGTTTTGTAATAGATTTATTCCTTTTATTTATTTTTGATTAATTTAAAGATTTCTGATCTATAATTTTTCAACATATGCTATATCGCGATGTTTAACAGACGATGTATCACGATATAAAATTCCTTACATCGCCCAGTCCTACTCAGGAACTATTCAACCAATTTCGCTCGAATGTTGCTCTTTGCCATGTAAAATTACATTCTTTAAAATGATGTAAAAATTTTTATACCTTACAATTCAAAAAATTTTCGAACATCATTAAATAGAATAATAAATATTTATTAAAAATAAATTTTTGCATGGAAATATCTTTGGATAAACGAATTTTATAATTGCGTGCAAAATGTTTTCAATCCGCTTAAAAAGTTCTCGAGATATGGCAAAATACAGAAAAGGTAAAATTAACATTTGGGGTCCTAGTTTTTGACCGCTCTTAAAACTATTGAGTCCATAGTTTCCAGTTAATGACTACCTCCTATATTTTGGGGGTCAGAAATTCGAATCTGTCAACAAAAAAAAGTGTGCGTTTATTTAGAGAAAATACATTTTTGTGTTTGATTTTGTAACTTAAAATATCTTCTGAAACTAATTAATCAGCATATTTTAAGTCACTCCTTCGAACCATTAAAATTGAGTCCTAGAATGTGAAGATCCGATCATTAGATCAAAAATTGTTTAGGGGGGTCCGTTTTTTATTCTGTGCACTGTTCAATTTGTGTCAATTAATAAAAGAACAAAATCAATTTATCTTTAAAACAAGTTTAAAAAATTGTATGGATTTTCTTCTTCAATGAAATTGAACTATATAATAGCTTTCTAACTTTCCCAAATAGGAAAATATATTTCTTATTATAAACGTGCACATTTTATTTTATTATCTTTGTCTTAGATAATTCTAGTATATTTTTTAAAAAAATCTTCATTGGACATTTTAACTTTTTGTGTTTTTCAAGGTTATATAAATATATTTTTTAGTTGTACAGAAATTTCTCAATGTTCTGTAAGTTGCAATGAATAAATTAAATAACTGGAAAAAAAAATTCCTTCTTACACTGGATTTGGAAAAATACATGCATTTAAGCATTAATAAAACCCAAATATATGCGTATAGAATAAGACTTTTACTAACTGCTGAGTGCATTGAAATTTTTTTTAAATATTCGTGAGTGTACTGAAAGGCATCAAAGTTTGGACTGTTGGGAAGATTCCCTGATTAATTTTTAATGGCACCTTATTTAGTCATTCTTCATAAGTATTCAAACAAGTAATGGATACTTTAAAACAAATGTTAAATTGATGTAAAATTATACACACTAATCACAGTAAATAACTTTAAGATTTGGTTCAAGTCGCTCCCCTGTTTTTGATTAAGAGATAGCTAACTTCTGGTATGTTGGTCGGATGTAAATGTTAATTGCTATAAAAACCAAATATGAAGATTTCTAAAAGTAAAATTATTAAGTTACAAAATTTTCCCAAGTTTAGAATATTTCACATTGTTCTCTCCAGACATTTGCTCTCAAATAAAGATGTTCTGATGCACCCCCTCAAATAACGACACTAGACTTGTCAAATGTTAGAGAAAAAAATTTACATTCAAATGTTATTGTAAAATTTTTAAAAAAATGTGGAATTCTTTGGAGGGATGATTTTTCGTTTGACTCAGCAGATGAGGATGAAGTAAAATCCATTCCAAAATGGAATCTGTATGAGGACACTGATCCAAGACAGATGATATGCAGGAATCTTTAAATTTGTAGCTTTATAGTTTGTTTAAAAGCTTAAATAAATTATCTTAACTTTTCTTATCCTTAATTTTTTTCTGAACATAAGTTAAAGCAGTGTTTCCCAACGTGGGGCCTACGCCCCACTGGGGAGCAATTTGATTGTTAATGGGGGCAATTCGAAAATGGACTCGACACGAGTTTAGCCCTTTTGCCCTGGGCCATTTAAATGCAATGCTAGATTTCGGTGCCAAAATTGAAAGAAAAAATCAAATTCTTAAATAATTGCAGCCAATAAATATTATAAATTCTTTTGACAAGACCAGAATATCAACTGGGTTTTTGGCATCGTCAAATTAACCTCCCTGCAGCAGACTTCGCGTGGACTTTCAAACTTTAAAGAAAAATTTTGAAAAGAGGACAACAGTAAAGTCTCTATTTACTGCTCCCACTTCAACTCATAATCGTATTCTTGAGGCTAGTTATCAAATTTTTTAATTATATATTTTTTTATTTTAAATCATACTAAAGGAGAAAATTTAAAAAAACCGTCAATATCAGCATCGATTAAAACGGTTCTTGAAAAGATGACAAAGCTGTAAAAGCTATGCCACTCAGTAACAATACTGTTAGCAGAAGAATAGACGAAATGAGTGAAGATATTGAAAAACAACATGTTGAAAAGATGAAAACAAGAAAATTCTCAGTGCAAATGGATGAATCAATTTTGATAGACAGTGTGGCAGTATTGATGACTTACGTAAGATATATTGATAAAGGGCATTTTGCTGAAGAAATGTTCTGTAAAAGATTAGAAAGCACCACTACCTTCAACGATATATATAATAAGCTAAAAAAGTACATAGATGTCAATAATATACCAATAAATACATAACATCTTGTGCTACAGATGGTGCTCCTAAGAAAAATGGCTGCTTAAAATTTATGAAAGATGAGAATCCAGAAATGATTCTCGTGTATTGTGTTATTCCTAGGGAAAACTTGGTAGCTAGAAAGATCTTGCCTGTTCTAAATGAAGTACTACATTCAGTAATAAAGTGCATCAATGATATTAAAACTAATGCCAAATGTGAGCTTCTCTTCAAGCTATTTTGTGAAGAACAAAATGCAGACCATGTGAGACTTTTACTTCACACTGAAGTAAGATGGCTCTCTAAAGGGAACTGCTTGAAAAGATTTATGGAACTGTTTGATATTCTTAGTGATTTTTTAAGTGACAAACCTAAAATGAAGTATCTGTTAACAGTCGATGATAAAGCATTTGTGAGTTATTCAGCCGGTATCTTTAAAAAACTAAATATATTAAATAAGCATCTTCAAGGAACAAATAAAACTCTTGTTGATGCAAAAGCGGAGATATTTGGTTTCATTACCCTTATTGAGTTATGTCAGATATATATTAACAACAAAAACTTAGAACAGTTTCATTTGCTCCAAAAATGTGAAGTAAATAATACCGCTTTACTTGCTATTGTCGATCATCTGAAAAGTCAATGATTTAAAACAAATTGATTTTCCAACATGGATGATGCAGCCAAAGTTAGTGGATTTGTCTGATATATCGAATAAGCAGGATCAAGAAGAACTCGCAGAAATGCAAAATGTTAAGTCAGTTAAAACTTTATTTAATATAAAGGGAATGATGGCATGGCTTTGTGAGGAAACAGAAATCAAATACCCAAATTCAACCAAATGTGCAAGAAAACTATTGCTACCGTTTCCATCTTCATATTTAGCTGAATTTGGATTTAGTGCTGTAAATGATTTACTGCTAAAAAAAGAAATCGTCTGGATATAACAAACACAACGGGGATACTTGAGACTGAAGCTAACCAAATTGGAACCTAACATAAAATCTCTGTGCAGCAAGGATCTCACTAAATTAAAATATTAAATTATTATAGAAAAATCTTTATTAAAACTATTTAAATTTTAGTTTTTGATTATATGTTTTGAAAATTTACTTACTGTGTTTCGTTAACAATTTCCTAGTGATTTCTCCCTAAAACCTATCATTTAAGTTTAAGTGAACAATTCAATTTTTTAATGTTAAAAATAATGTATATGTTACAAATGGGGGCATAAGAATTTTAGAATGACTTAGGTGGGGCATGGCGCAAAAAAGGTTGGGAAACACTGAGTTAAAGTATTGTTTAAATAAAAAAAAAAGACCTTTCTATGTAAAGAAAATACAAAATTAATTGCATATAACATATTAAAATATTTTTGATAGGGTTAAATTGATATTTTTACTGCATTGATATTTCATGATCAACGAATATCCAAGTTTATTGCCAATGCATAAGTCAATCCCCTTATTTTTGCAAAATTTTGGGTGCTTGAAAGACGGCTTATACTCATGGATATACAGTATTTTTAAAAAATGACGTTGTAGATACGACGTTATACACATAAATTTGCTACAGCTTTTAGAAATACCTGCAACTTTCTTGCTGTTTTAGTTTCTTTGATAATTGTTTCCAATTTCCTTTCGTATAGTTTTGCTCTGAGCGACTTCATGGCTAATTCTCTATTTTTATGCTGGTTGCGTTCCATTTGACTTTCAGCTACAATGCCTAAAATAAAAATATAAAGTTAATTTAAATAAAGAAAAGAAAGAAAAAAAATTGTTACAAATTTTAATTATACCTGAAGGTTTATGAAGTATTCTAACACAGCTATCAGTTGTATTTACATGCTGTCCTCCAGCACCACTAGAACGTTTGAATTCCATTTCAATGTCACTTGGATTTATCACAACATCAATCTGAAACCAAATTAGACATTAAAATTGTAATTGTGATTTCCATTGTTTGGCATCTCACGCTGTTACAGATAAGTCCTGGAATGTGCTACGTGGAACTCACAGTGTTCCGGATTCACCCCGTGCTACTGCGGTGGCCATGTTTAGACTTTTGACCATGTTTGGTGGCCATGTTTAGACATGATTGTCTACGTTCTTATTTATATCGCCTCAAGCTGACTACTTCATCAGATTGTCTTTTATGTAACTCCGGACAAGCCATGACTGCTGCACATTTGGACATGTGCTCTGCACTAAAAGACTTTGTATTGTTAAGAAGTACTGGAAAGTTAGAAGTCTAATGACCTAATAGTCAATGGCTGGCATTTGTTTAATAATATAATTATGATTCAAGTTTATAGTTAAAGTCTATAGCTTGCAGCTGATATTGACAAATCAGTTAATATTTTTTACAAACCCAACTTCCTTCAATTATCAGAGAATAATTTTTCAGCAGTTGTTTGACTGTATAGTTAAAAAAAACTTTAATAGCACATTAGTTTGAATGTGAGCAGCATTAGTTTGAATAGCACATGAGAATTGAAAGGAACCATTTTTATCACTGGAAATATTTATTGAAATCCATTGATAAAATGGATATTTTATTCGAATAATCACTAAAAATTAACATCTCATTTTTTAAAACCATATAGATTCAAAAATTCTGAAATGAATTTGGCATAATAATAGCAAAATTATACGGAAATATTTCAACTAGAAAAATAGTGCTAGTTATATGAAATAGAACAAATACTCTCTTCTGTTTCAAAAGAAAAGGTTTAAATAATTAAAAAGTTATTTGGAGCAAAAATATTAAACATTTAAGCAATGCCACTGTAAAAGGAAAATATTATTATTTACATTGTTTGAATTTAGTAAGACAAACTAAATATCAAAAGATAAATCAAAATAGCTATATTTTTTAACATTTCTTTAAAATGCAAAATTCTTAGGAGGTTTACGTAGTGCTTTTATTTATGTTGAATTTTTCTAAAATATTGGGTGCCAGGTACAATTTTTTTAGGGGGAATACCTAAGATATGTAAACCTCTGATTCAGTATTATAAATATTTAACAACTTTATGAAATTTATAATAGGAATGTATAATTTGCAATCTGAACTTACTATGTACCTATATACATGGAGCAAAAGATGTGAAATATTTTTTATGAATCAAAGAAATCAGAAGAATATATTATTTAGAAAAATTTGTTAAACTGTGCTTTAACTATCATGCATTTTATTAACTAGAATAATTAAGAAATAAAGCATTTCATTAAAGAGAGGGATGGAAACTCTGAACTTTTTAAAATATTCATTTTTTTCCTTTCTGTTTTGTAAAAGTTTATTTGTATAAAGTAATGATTTAAAATAATCTTCTGTGACACATGATTTTTGAGGAGTTACTTAAATTGATACTTATTTGGGTTGTAGGCAGCTGAAAAATATTTAAATTTGAATCAAATTTTCTATGAAACAATATTATTTAAGTTCAATTTATTATTACCCCAGGAACTATTAATCTGATTTCTATTTTATTGTATGAGATTATAAATAATAAATTTCTCTACAATGTAGCAGAAAAGTTTTTTTTATATCTCTGTTTTTTAATTTCTTATAAGCCCCAAACTTTAATTTTTGTGTATAAATAAATAAAAAAAAGGAACTTTAAAAGCTCCTTAATCATTCAAAGATGTAGATACTAAAAGTATTTTACATACGTTGAAGAGAATTTAATTATCTGTTAACTCATAAATACAAGATTAGGAATAAGAAGTTTCACAGATATCTATTGGACAGAGTTAAAAAAAGTATGGTAACAGTTGAAGTCTGAAGATCAGTTTCATGCTACAGAACTTTGCATTGGTAGCTAAAACTTCTCCAAAAGTTAGAGTTTTAAAAATTTTCCTTACACATTATATTACATACATTCAGAAAATAAAGAAGAAAGTTTAGAATAGCTACATATTTTAATTATATCGCTATAATATAATTACAATAGCTTATTTTAAAAAATGGAGTTAAATAACATAAATGTTTTACTTCAGAAGGTTGTGGCAAAACAGCTACTGTCATTGTACTTGTATGTATTCGACCAGCTTTTTCTGTTTTGGGCACTCTTTGAACTCTATGAACACCAGATTCATATTTTAAAAATTTAAAGGCATTACTCCCATTTACGCCTATATGAGCAGCTCGTATGCCCCCTAAAATATATTAATAATCCAAATGTTAAAATAAACTCAAATTTTGATTTTTTTTTTTAAACAATCTAAGATGGAAACAACAGAAAAATATTATAAAATGTTTATTTTTATATATAACTCCATTAAGATTTTACTTTATAAGACTAAAATATAAATCCAAATTGCAACACAGTACTGTTTTTTGTTTTAAATCAAAGGGTAAGGAGATAAAGTTTGAATGAACCAAAATTCAAAAATAAGCACTGATAAAAAAAAATACTAATAAAATATTGTAATGTAGAATAGAGATACAATGAATGTATACAATCCATTATGAAAGTTATTTATAGCATACACTTTTAAGAAAGCCACCCACAATCATTTTCGACTGATTTAATTCTTTTCTTATCTTTAGGCTATGAATTCTTCACAAGTAATTTTTAAAAATTGGAAGGAAAATACTTGGAATATCATAAGATGGTAGAAAATTTCGTTGATTTTTGCTGCAATGAGTTTTTTTAAATTAACCAAAAAATTAGATAAAATTTTAGCAGTAGTATCAATAAGAAATTCTAGGGGAATTAATACATATGAATTTGAATCACCTAGTGTTCCCAATGATCCATCTTTGAATTAAAAAAGAGTTGACAAAAGAAATAAATACTAAATGTAAAGCTGAAGAAAAAAAACCTAATAATTTAACACGATTAAAAAAAATGAAGCTCTTTTTCAAAATACACTCGAGCCTCGTTAACGTGAACAATCTTAACGTAAATTTTTTTTAATGTGAACTAATTTCCGATTAACCATTAAATTGTATGTGGATATAATACTTTAAAGTACTTTTAACGTGAACACGCTAACGTGAAATATCCTTTAAGGTGGACTTGAATGACATGACGCTTGGAAAAAGTTTTACTTTTAATGCAAACAGAAAATTTATTGCCAATCATACAGCTAAGAAAACTGAGGATTCACTGTTCTATATCTAAAAAAGTAGTTTTTTTAAATGCTTTATTGTGGTGTTGATATTTGCAACATGCTTATGAAGCAGTCAAAACTGTTCATTCTTTAGTAATGCAAACTAAAAATTCGAATCCTTATGTAGATACAGTTGATAAGGTGGAAGACTTTTGGGAAGCATGTGCGAATAAGAAACCAAAACAGTGAGCTAGTGTCGATTATATTGTTAGCAATCCTCTCTAATTTGTGTAATAATTCAGGTCTCCTATTAATTATTTACTAGCCAAATTTTTTTTATTTGCTTTTACAGAATTGAAAAAAAAAAAAAAAATTAGAACACTAAAAATAAGTACAATTTTTGAACTACATCAAAACTATAATATTTTTTCCTTTCTTTATAAATTTATTTTATTTTTTAAAGTTATTGGTTATATTTATTAGGATGTGTAAAGAAATTATTAATTTAATATAAAGTGTAAAATAAGAACATTTATTAAAATGAAATATACATTAATTTACACATTCATGATAGAAATTTAAGATTAGAAAACACAAATAGATAACAGATAAAGATAATATAAAATGTCTGTGTATTGTAAAATTTTCATTAAAAAAATTCGACATTAACGAGGTTAGACTGTAATAAGCAATTTCATGATAATGTAATCCTTTAAGCATCCTGCCATTAACAAATTTACTAGGTAGATTTTTATTAAATACTTAAGATATAAAATCAAAAATAGAATTTTTTAAATGTTTTGTAATAATAATAAAAACATTTTATTAGAAATTTGAAACAGTTTGTGCTGTGTACTTTCCTACAAATTTGAGTTTTTTTTTTTTAAATAAATTTAAAAACAAATCAAATTATAGAAGATATTATAATTTCAAAATAAAAATATGAGGTTTTACTTCATGTTCTTTCTATGTAATACCAGTCACATTTTATATGCATAATAATATTAGTTTATTAAAAAACATCCCATAAATTAAAAATATATATATATATATTACAATTTAAAAACCTATAAAAAGATAACGTCAGTCACCACAGAATAGCCCTAATATAAAACATTACAGAAAATTTCACTAACCTAATCCAGTTTCATCAAATTTCAACAATTCTAAATCCCAGCCTTTCCACTGAACATAACGACAATACATTTCAAACATGTCTTTTGCAAAAAGCATAGCTTCTTGGCCTCCTACACCAGCTGTTAATTCCATTATTAAATTTTTATCATCAATGATTTCATCTGGAACAATGGAATTAACAACCTATGATTGAACAAAATTATTAGTCTAATTATAAAATATGAAAGCAAATTATTTAAAATAAACTATGATAGGATTCAATCATAAGAATCATTGAAATTTAATTGTCATTAAAGTTTTAAAGGCAGTAGGGTAAAGTGTTGTATCCTAGACCAATTTTAACTTTTTATTTATCTTTCATGCAGGAAATAATTATTATATAATATATATATAAATATATATTATAATAATTATTTTCTGCATGAAAGATATATATATAAACTCTTCCTGCTACAGAGTTTGGAGTTGTCCATTCCAATGAAAACGAGAACATTTTAACAAGTGGAGTTTTTGATGCTTCTCACTAACTTGCCATAACTGGTCCTAAATGCTTACCACACACCCCTAATTGAAATAGTTAAACCGTGTAACTATAGTCATAAACATTGCTCCAGACGTCTGGCAAGATGTGTTATTTACATAGATAAGCTATACAATGTGATTTCTACTGTTTTTTTTTCCCCCCACAAATTAAACACTTTAAATTTTTATGAGTTTCTTTCGTTTTTTCCCCCTTCAAATAAATATTGAACATAAATTATAATTGAATTCACATCAGATAAGAACATTGCCTGGTAAACTATGTCTTCATAAAGAAGTCTTTATAATTTAACAAAAATCTTTTATAAAAGAATTTTTTTTTTTTTAAATAAAATTGGATACATTAATCAGATTAAATAGCTAAAAATAAAAACCATTATTAAGTTTCAAATAATTTTATATCAATGAAATATACTGCATAACTTTTATGAATAGAAATACAGAAAGTTTATTGAAGACAAGAAAAAGAAAACAATGAGCAAAGTTACTCACTTCATCTTTTAGCAATTGTAATTTATTCTCCAAATCCTTCTTTTCTAAAAGTGCAGTGTTAAGTAGCTCATCCTCTTGTTTCGTAAGTTCTAAGTATATAAATAAAAACATATGTAAATTATGTATACTACAAAATACACATACTGCATCAAAAACATTCAAAATTCGCATACATATATGTTACTGTCAATATATGACATTCTGGATTCTATAAAATACCTAGTAATTGTACAGAATACAGTGTGAAAATGATCTCAGAATTATGGGAATAGAGGGATGGCAGAAACATGCGTTGAACCGTGAAATTTGAAGGAAACAAACTGAGAAAGTTTTGGCCTTAGTACTGATGAAAATTTAATAGACAGCCTCTCTGCTGTCAGCTCGATTATGCCCGCTGTCTGCAGTGGTTTTAAACCTGCCCTACTGTAGGCCTTGAGCTCATTGCTTTGTGTTCCATAATTGTCCTCTGCCCCTTGGGGTGATCACTCATATTTGTGCATTTCTCAGGGCCATGTGCTACATGTCATCTGGCCTCTTGTGCTGTTGCATGGTTGCCTTTGCTCGATGAGCATTCAAGTATTGGCGGATGAGCCCGTAGGCTTTGGTCGCTGATAAGCTATAGACTACCTAAAATTGACCAGCAAAATATTAATTGATTATTATTTTACACATTGCCTGGACATTTTATAGTATGATAAATGAAAAATCCACAGGCACTTTATATAATGACTAGTTAAAGTAAATAAAATTTCTCATAATTCTTACCATTATCTAAAAAGGTCAGAGGTTGAAACATTACATAATCAGTACATAACATGGTATGAATGCTAGCATTTCATACAATGACAGTAACAAATACATAATGAGATTTCTGATAAATGAAATTATGATGGATATCAAATAAACACCTTATTTGATTAATGTAATCAATTTCATTTTCATGCCTTTTAAGATACAAAGCTGTGATAGAATGAGTGTATTATTTTGGTATCTTCTCTGACATTTATTACTTTCTGTTTAGAAACAGAGGAGTGCTGCAGAAATATGCCACAGACATTAGTGCAAAGATTACTGATTAAATAACTAATTTAGAACAACTATGTAACTATTAAAATGACTTGTACCAAAGATAACATATGAATAAAAATTGAGAAAGAGATTCTCTAATTAATGTCAATATATTCAAGTAAGAATTAACAAAACAAAAATTATTTATTGTAATATATTTAGATGTAGAAACCATAAACTAATATTTGAGTCAATAGATAAATGCAAAAAAAAAAAATTTTTGTTCTAAAAAAAATCTATTTTGATAAAAAATTTTCTTAAAGTAAATATAAATATAAAGTGTTCAATAATGACCACCCATAATATATCTGTAACTCTAGAGCTTGAATATGCGACCTATGGCTGAGTATAGCATAATTGATAAAGGTGGTCACGTCTATCAATCATCATTCAATATAATGCGAAAATACCTCCCCTAAAAAACAGCTGACCGAACTTCGCAGATTCTGTATACACAATCAGACAAATTATGTGCTTTGTTTACCAAGTACACAATTCCTTCGGAAGACCGTTCCAGTTGTGGATATATTTAAAATTCTTTTAAAAAAAGAAATTATAAGAGTATGTACATTTATATTTTATAACCATCGTTGACAGCCGATCGAAGTTTTGAGTTTACAGCTACCGATGTTCAAATCTGTAGTTTTGTAATTTTGAAGACAAGGAAACTCCTGGATCAGTACACCCAGAGGCATGATTTGTTATGGGAACATGGTGGACTTTGTGACCCGACATATTTAACGTGCACCAGTCACAATTTACTACACGGGAAGTCTTCGGCTAGCAGAGATCGAACCCACGGCCTCTTGGACGTGGGCCCAGTGCCCTACCAACCAGGCTATCCCAGTCAATAGTATGTACATTGGAATTGACAAATAAATAATTGAGGGAAGAAAAAAAAAATTTCTTTCAAAATTTAGCAAATCACTAGTGAAGAAGGCAGGGTGGCCATAGTCTGGAAAAATTTAAAGAGTGGTAACAAATGTTTTACGAGGTTCTTTTAAATTTTAAAAGCTTAAATTACCAGTTAATTTTAAGACATCAGTCAGTCAATTATAAGACGGATATTTAATTTACAAATATTTGAGACTGATAAAAATTAGTTAAAACATTTGTTTCCTTAATCTTTCTCTGCCAGTGTTTACATTTCCATGGAAAGTGGCTAACGGGAGAAGGTAGAAAAGAATATACCAAAACCAGTTTTATTGCCTGCTGAAGCATGGATTATATCTTATAATGCTCTTTTTTTTCTGACAATGAAACAGATGCTAAGGTTTGTAACCCCACCATCCTTATTGGTGTTATGTTAGATGACGATAGCATTTTGATTAGCAATAAAACATTTTTAGCAAAATTTACGAGTTTCTTAGAACTTTGAGAGCTTTAAGACAGAGACTTGAGCCTTATGGTTAATCAGGTTCTAAGAGAAAGATTGTATATTAACTACTGGCTTGAACATTAAACTCGGAAGGGGTATGATACATAATCGTTTCAATTTACCAGAAATTAACGCATTAAGTTCATGAAGTTCTGATTCCAATCTTTCAACTTCCTGCTTTAAAAGAATAACATGATTTATTAAACGAGTATCGTGATAAAAGTCATTAATTGGCAGAACACCTCCATTTGATTCTATGAGTAAGTCATTAATATAATTTAAGTGCTTTTGAAATCTTTTATCATTATATGATATCTGAGAAAAATAAGCCCTCTGCTCTAACAAATGCTGATGTGTGACATTTATCCTCTTCAAATACAAAGTATGCCCATTATTTAAAAGTAAAAATTTTTTAAATAGAGTGCGACAAACTTTGTGGAACATGATTAATTTTTATTTACAACCATAGAATGGAATATCGTCTGCTCGATAGCTTGGCTGATCGAACGGCACAGCTGGAATAAATGCTATCTACTGAAACCAAAAGATATGTAATATATTTTATACAGTTCATGGTATGAAACTGAAAAAACTGAAAGTACCGAACGAAAGAATTTTTAAACGAACCAGGCTGTTTTTTGTAATTTTTATTTTTATTTTTTAAATGCGGTTACAAAGTCATTATTTTACTAGTTGACGGTTACAAAGTCATTATTTAAAAATACGCACTGTCTTGAATGCCCGCCGTTTTATAAGGCGGGTTGACACGATCAAAGTACTTTGATCAAAGTATGCGCGCGCAATCAAAGTAAGCAAAAGTAAGTCATAAAAGTAAATAAAGCAAAAATGGGAACCGCGAAATTTTAGGGAAAAGGGAAAATGCGAAGGGGAAAAAAAGTCACGCACTGTTGTTGAGAGTATGATATATCAAATGAATAATCTCGGCCTCTGTGTTTTTAAAATTCATTCGAATTTTAAAATTATTTAATGAGGTTTAAAAAATTAAATCATATTTTATTAGACATTGATATAAGTAGTTTAACCAACCCTGTGATTATATTAATGAAAAGACGAAAATTATTGTTTTTGAAATTAAATCAATATATAAAAAGTTCCCTGTATTTGTAATTGTCTCTCACTTTGATGTGACGTAATTTACTTTGAAGGGTGTTCAACTTTAATTTCTACTTTGATTCAAACAGCGATAATTGTGCCAATTGTGGGTATCGGTAATTGGCGATCGAAATGGGCTGCAGGT